TGTGACTCAATTGATTTGACCGGTGGCGCCGGTCAATCGCGAGACCTGCGCAAGACGCTCGAAATTTGCGGGACAAATCACCGAAAATTTCGCCTCGAGACCGTCCTTGGGCGGCGCGGGCTCGGCAGGCTGGTGCGCTTGCCGCCCCACAGCATGTGCTCGGCAGAATTCCGACATCGGGTGGTGCGGCCGGGTTGAGCTGCCCTGGAAAGCGATGATCGAAAGCACAAGTGGCACTTGTGCTTTCGAAGTGGGTTCGTTTCAATGCGTTCCAGGTGAGAGTTGCGGCAGGTGGCGCGGGCTGGCCTTGGAACTGGAAACAGGCACCAACCAATTTTTGGTTGATGCCCGCGTAGAGTTCAGCTACTAAGAGTCGTTGGGCGAACCCGTCGGCGGGCTGGCGTGGCTCCGATGCCGGGCAGGTGGTGCGGCCGGGGTGGAGGCTTCAATGCCAGGCAGGTGGCGCGGCAGTGTTGGCGCGGCAGGGAGGTCGGAGCTTGGAGTTTTTTGGGCCCTTATAGGAACCTATAGGAACCTATAGGAATCTTATAGGAAACCCATAGGAAACCCATAGGAAGTCCATAGGAAGCCCTCTTCTTCTTTTCCTATGGGCTTCCTATGGGTTTCCTATGGGTTTCCTATAAGATTCCTATAGGTTCCTATAGGTTCCTATAAGGGCCTGAAAAACTCTGAGCTCCCCGTTCAGGTGAGGCTTCCATGCCGGGCAGGTGGCGCGGCAGGGCTTCAATGCCGGGCAGGTGGCGCGGCCGGAATGTGGCGCGCTCGGTATCGAAGCCTCCACGTCGGCGGGCTGGCACTCGTCCGTCCAGGTAGCCCTGCAAAGGTTGGCTCGCTTGAAATGCAACCTGGAGCCAGTGTCCGATATAATCGGACACTGCTTCGTAGTTGGTGATAACATATGCGACATCATCAGCTGCGTGCCTGGCACGCTAGGTGTCGAAGCCTCCACGTCGGCGGGCTGGCGCGGCTCCGATGCCGGGCTCAATATTGAATCAACTTTGAATCATCTTGAGTCAACAATGGATCAATATTGAATCAACTTTGAATCATCTTGAGTCAACAATGGATCAATATTGACAGGTCCACCTCTCTCTTTAGAGGGGGTTTCCCAAATGGATTCTATTCTACCTGACAGGCTCCTAGCACTCGTCCGTCCAGGAAACGACCTCGTCCTGCGAAGGATTCGAAACCTAAAACGCTGCGTGGAGGCGTGTGGCTGCAAAATAATGACCCCTAGATATGCTTGCAATTTGGCTCCAGGTTGCATTTCAAGCGAGCCAACCTTTGCAGGGCTAAGAAAAAAACAAAAAAGAAAATGAGGTCCCCAAACAGGTCCAAAAAAGGAAAGAGGACACGGCAGAAGCTGACGTAACGAGAATGCAGCCTGGAGCCAGATTTGCGGCGCCTGTCTCCGGTCGGGAGACAACTGTCCACTGCGCCTCAGGCTCGGCCAATCGACCAATCACCACCAACTGCGACTAAGCGCACAGGGGACGGCGGCTCAAGCAGTTTCGCGTGCTCGGACCAAGCTTGTCGAACAGAAAAGGATGACGAACAGACAAGCATTGTGGAACTGGGCGAAGTGTGAATGCTGGGGTAGCCGATTCTTGAGCCCATAGACAACGTTTGGCAGAGCAGAAACTTTCGCGCAAATCCATGGAGCCAGGGCTTTTCCGCAGGCTCCGCAACCGACAGCCACACGAGGCTCTTCTGGAGACGGGCCGAGACCGATCTGATAGAGCAGCTGGCGGCCGCGTCCGAGCGCGTCTTTGAGGCGAAGCTCACCCGCGAGGCAGTGCGCCAGCGGCTGCTGCCCTCTGTGAGGCAATCGCGCGGCGGCGATTGGATGCTGAAAGCCAAGCTGCCAGCCCACGCGCGCTTCTGGAACGCTGGCGGCACGTTTGCGGACCGTCCTGCAGAGCTGGCCCACCGCGCCGCGCGCGTTCGGCGCCCGAATTGCATCAGGATCTTCACCCTTACCCAAGTCCACCTCGTCAGCCTCCACATCCTTCCATTTCTGGGTGCCACCATAGGTGATCCGAGGTACACCAGCGACTGCACAGAACAAGATGGCGGCTTGTGTGGAAAAAGAAGTAGTTGAGTTCCCGGCGCCAGCGTAGAAGATGGGGTGGAAGTCTTCGGTGCGAATGCAAGCCTGGCCCCACAGCGGTGCACCCACTGGCTTCGGTCCTTTCTGTACTCAAGACACCTTTCCCGCATTTGGGGCAGAGCTTCCCCTTCCACTCAGGAAGGATGCGGTCCTTCTTCAAGAGGTGGATCAGCCTGATGCCCTTCAAGGACAAGAAGTTCATGACCGATCTTCCCCACCTTTCCCTGTGAGGCCTGGACTTCATGGTCAGGGTGCCGTGGCGTACGTACGGAGTTTTGACCGTGTGAGCCTTCATACTTGCTGGGCGCTTGTTGGCGCGCGCTTTGCCTCTCTTTGGCTCAGGCCAAGGCGCTTGACGCTTGACCGCATGCTTCAGGACTTTTTTAGGCATGACGCTACAAAAACAAAGAGTGGCTACACTGAGACGGGCTTCTGACACTCGATTTGCGGTTTGGCAATTTGCCCCGTAGCTGCCTTTGTTTTCGCAAGGCGAGCCTCTTCAAAGGAAACTTTTTGTTTGGAACCCTCGGTCGTCGGTCGGTCGTCGATCGATCGTCGTGGCCGGCCGTCCTTCGGTCGTCGTCGTCGTTCGGTCGTCGTCGTCGTCGTCGTTCGGTGGTCGCCGTCTTTCGGTCGTCGTCGTCGTTCGGTCGTCTTCGTCCCTCGGTCGTCGTCGTCGTTCGGTCGTCGTCGTTGGCGTCTGGGAGCGCCCCGACTGCGGAAAACTCCCACGGTGTCGGGGTTCCCCTTTTGGCCGTCGTTCGGTCGTCGGCCGTCGTTCGGTCATCGTCGTCGTTCGGTCGTCGTCGTCGTTCGGTCGTCGTTTTCGGCGTTTGGGAGTTTTCCGCAGCGGGGGTTAGCAGCCCCGACTGCGGAAAACTTCCACGGTGTCGGGGTTCCCCTTTTGGCCGTCGTTTGGTCGTCGGCCGTCGTTCGGTCGTCGATCAGCCGTCGATCGGCTGGTTTTTTTAGTTCGCCTTGCAGAAGCGCAGCTACGGGGCAAATTGCAAGCTTTAGCTCTCGGATCCTTCGCAGGACGAGGTCGTTTTCTGGACGGACGAGTGTCAGAAGCCCCGCAGCTGCATCGAAACCCGTTTGGGGAATCCCTTCTAAAGAGAGAGTTGCATCAATTTGGCGCCCGGGTGTGTACAGCTGGCAAAGCGTTGACTTCAACCCCCGACCTTATAGCGGACGCTCTCGGTGAGAAGATACGCTGCATTCATTTTACGTCAACGACTGACATGTCTGTGCAGTTTGACATGTTCGTAGGTGCGGTTGCTTGGTTTTGGCGCCCTAGCGGGGGAAGGAGAAGGAGAAGGAGAAAAAGGAGGAGGAGGAGGAGAAGGAGAAGGAGGAGGAGGAGGTGGAGGAGAACACGAACACGAACACAAACAAGAACAGGAACAACAGCGAGAACAAGAACAAAAACAACCAGAACATGTTTGGACAAATAGGGCAACACATTCGGAAACAGGAGCTGTGACTCACAGCCAAGAACTCTAGTGGTTGTCAATAATCATGATTGTGCAACTCAAGCTCTAATGAGAGAATGTCATGAACCCCCAATTTTTTGTCGATTAGATTTGACAAGTTTCATTTTGCCGTGGCACAAGTCCCCAATCTCCGAACTCCTCCTTGCACACATCAATGATCAGTTCTCGCGCTGTTTTCTTGCCAGTTGCATTGGTTTTTAAGAGAGCCGACTGCCATAAGACTCATAAGGCTGGTTTTTGGCCCCGTTCAGTACAATGCGGGCAATTGCCAAAATTTTCAACTTTGGCTTTCCAATATACCGGAGGTTGGCACGTCGCTTCTTTTCGGCTCTGGACCAAGGGCCAAACATGAAGAAAAAGGGCCCCCGAGAGCAACAGGGACATCTAATAACACGCAAAGGAACCTCAAAAGCTCGTATTGCATCCATTCTTTTTCGTGTCAAGCATTCATACCGGCAAAGTGTGGCGACCCAAAAAACACAGGCGTTTATTGTTCCTTTCACAAGAAACCATGTAATTCACTTCAACCCCAAAGAATGTTGGCAGAACTTGCTTCGCATGGACATTGAGGCGCTTGGGATTTGGGAGGTTTTGGGCTGTCGTTTTTTCGCAACCCATGGGCCGGGAGCAGAAGCGGCGGCAAGAGGCCCGCAAAGCCAAGCAGCTGGTGCAGAGTGGGAAGGCGGAACGCAGGCCCTGTGGGGTCCTGCCACTTGAGGAAGGGGTGCATCGAAGCCAGCCCTACACGTGCGTCGGTTGCGATGAGGTGCACGTAGAATGTTGTGATTTGCAGTTTGGAGCCAAGGACGAAGTGGCAATTATCATGTTGCCAAACCCGACAAACCCGCCGTAGAAATTTGTTTGACGGGGTTTGCCCACTAAACACTCTTTGCCAAACCTCTTCACGTCGCTCCCTAGGATATTCGCAGTTGGAGGCATCCAAATGCAGTGCTCGTTCTACACCTTTGCTTTGTTGGTGCGGACAGCTCCAACTTCAGTTGTAGACCAGTCGATTGTCAGCCCCCTGATATCTCATGTAGATGACTAGCCGTTTAGGTTTGCCAGGAGTTCAACGTGGACTTTTGATGCGCATGTTGGTCTAGCACTCAGAGTTGTTGAGTTCAACAACACGGAAAGCAACCTTAGAGCAGCCCTAAACTTTGTTGTAAGGGCATTTTTCGCGCATAAATATGTTCCTCGACTGTTTATTGTTTTGCCCCCTTGTCAAACTGACACATGCGTTTTGGCTATATCTAGTTGGTGAGGGTTTGACTTGAGCAAGCAAGAACCTGCAAATGTGGCAAGGCCGCTTCTGCCAGAAGAGGCTGCGGACCTCTTTTCCGCCATCGACAAGGGCGAGGTGGGGCACAAGAACAAGAAACGGCCAGTGGGGGTGTCTTTGTTTTGAGGGTTGGGGTTGCTTTGAAGGGAAGCCGACGGGAAATCGCGATTCTGGGAGTCTCTCATTTCAACTTTTGCGCATGGAGCCTCTGGTGTCACCCAGTCCGTTTCGCTCCTTGCTTCCGAAAGCGGTAGAAATTCCCGCACCGATTGCTGCACTCAAGCATCAATTGCAGCGCTGCTTTCCCAAAAGTCTTGCGCCATGTGGAACCTTTTCCTTTCAGACTTCCTGAAATCAAGCAAACCTCAACCCCGATCACGCTTCCCGCTAACCTGAGTGAGGCCCCGAGGCTCCCCTTCCCACCTTCGGGAGGTGCAGAGCTTCGGCATCGCGCGGCTGGCTGGCTTGCGGCTGGACGACCTGCACCAGGCGCGGAGAGACATTCGCTGAGCCTTAAAATGTCTCATTCGATGAGACGAGTCCTATCTATTTCATGCTTTCTCTCTTTCTCGTCTCATCCTCTCCCTCTTCCTATCTTATGCCTTTCCCAAGTAATGGTGCCAACTGATTAGTAAACCCCCCTCCCCCCCCCCTTCAAGGTTGACAAGGTTTGGACAAGTCCCAAAAAATGAGATTTTTGGGAGGACCCCCCTGATTAGTCTGGAGCCCCTGCGGTCCTCGTCCTCTTACTTCTGGTCCCTTCAGGGCAGTAGGACTTTAAAAGGCAACAGCATATTTTGTGGGTTTTGAGCCCAAAAGACCCCTGACTAATCGCGGGGGGTTTTCTGTTAATGAGGGGGGACTGGCCTCCAAGGGGGGTCCCCTTTGTGAGCTTGAAAACCTTGTCATTTTAAACAAATTTTAATAAGGAAAATTGCATTTCGGGGGAAGCACATTTTTTTTGAAAACTTGAGGGGTTCAATAGTGACTTAGTATTGGTGGGTTTAAGCACAGACTCAGCAAATACTAAGCAAGAAGGAAAGCACCTTTCTGGCAGGTTTTGTTGGCTTGGGGGCTGCAGAGGGATACCTTTAATCAGGGGGGGTTTTGGGGAGGGCTCAAAAATTATTGGGTAGGGTTTTTTGGGGAAATCTTGTTGGCCCTTTACTTTAGTGTTGGTTAGAACCTGGGGGGGAAAAGGGGAAACCTTTAATCGGGGGGGGTTTACTAATCGTCTGCTGACATTAACAGATTCTCAGGGAAGACACTGGAAGGCATTAGGAAGGGAAAAGGAAAGGCTATCCCTTCTATCTACTCATCTTAATCACATGCCGAGAGATAGCGTGTAGATGGGTAGAAGGGATGGGAATGGAGAGATGGGAAACTCGGGAAATGCATCTGGAATCCTTTTAATCGGATTTCCTGTCACTTAGAGTTCCCATCCATCTCTCTTTGCTTTTCTCTTTCCTTAATACCTTCACCAGGATTTTAGAGTGGAGAGGCATGAAGGAAATGGACAAGTTCACATGAAAGTGATGTCCAAGAGCCAGTCAGGGAAGGCCTCGGTGAAATGGTCTGACATTAACTCTGTTCCCTTCTATCTCCTACCTCCATTCGATCCAAGATATGACAGAGAATGGAGGAAGAGGGAGCCATCATAAAACCATTTTGTCTCCACAAGATAATTTTGCCAAGTCTCTTTTTTCCCCAACAGCTGAAAGCTTTGGGGTCTCAGCCCAGATAGGCTCCGGGGTGGTCCGGGGCGGCCCTGAGGTAAGGTTCCACGAGGGTTCCACGAGGGTTCCAGCCCGCTTGCACCACGGGACCATTGGGCCCCGGTCGGGCCCCGATTCCACAATCGGGCCCCGATCGGGCCCCGATTGCGCCGTCGGGCCCCGATCAGGCCCGATTGTGACGTCGGGCCCGATCGGGCTTTGATTGTGCTGTCGGGCCCCAATTAGGGCGCGATTGCGCTGTCACTCTTAGCTTTGCTTCATAAAGTTACAAGGCGGTGAGCTGGGTCCCGGGGCGGGTGTGGTGCTGTTGGGGATATCGCCTGAGCTTATTTTTTTGTTTTTGTTTTTTTGTTTCATCTGGGAAACAGATGATGTCCAGAAGCAAAAAATGGATCTCCGAATCTGGGAAAGAAATATGTGGACACCACATTCTGGATGGCTTCCTTCTCACCTGAACCCCATTCCTCCCCCCCCCATCCGTTTTTCCGAGCCGTCGGGACCCCGAGTAGGCGCCTTGGTGCTTTGCCTGGGGCCCAGCTTCGCGGATGACCTTGGCGGACTTTGCCGCGCTCCGGGGCCGGGACTCCTTCGTCTCCGCGCTGATCACTGCTGGGGCGGACCCCTCAGGTGTAGGCGTCCAGGCGCGGGCCACGGGTTGGGCCGGCCCTCGAACGGGAAAGTTTCTCGTGAAACATGGAAGGTACTGATACCTCCTGTGGATCAACCATGCAACTCGGGTTTCCCTGCTTTGCCCCCCGCCTGAGGCGTGACGCCAGTCGTGCTAAGATTCAAGCCCAACAAACCAGACCAAGCCGCCGCAACAAGGAATTCAATTCGTGTTTTCTCCGCCGATCGCTTCGTGGACTCTTCGTTTTGGCGAAAGGTCTGGGAGAAGCTGCCTCGGGCCTACGCCTGCTGGCTGGCGCGGGCGGCTGCCCGCCTGCGGCTAGAGGCGCACGTGGTGTGGGGTTTCCCCTAGTTGAAGAAGCTGTCAGTTGTGTAGACAACCGTCAACGATGTGTGTTTTAAATAGCAATAGCAAAGATGCCAGAATTCTCACATCGCTGCCTCGTACTAAAACGCACGGGGGGGGGGGGGGGGACTATTTCAATCCTTGATTTGGGGTAACATTTTGACTGGCTATTGCGTCAGGTTTTTGGCACGGTTTTCGACTCGAGTCTCTACACATTCGACCTTTCAATAAGTTCGGGCTCGTCTTCCCCGATTGCTAGTTGACCTCAAGGCCACTCCAGATACCTGCAGATGCGGCGGCCCTGGGGCAGAGTTTCCACCCTGCGGGCACCGTTGCTGCGCGCGCTGCTTTTGGTCGCCCTTCAAAGACTTTGTGAGCGGCCGGCTGCCTGAGCTGACGTGCTTCTGCGGCCAGCGCTTGGAGGACCTGGCAACTATCTGAATCGGACCATTGAAGCCTCGGCCCATGGTTTCTCGATTTCTTTTCCAGGCTTCGTTTTGTGTGTTGTGCGGTTTCCGATGTTGTTTTGTGTTTTGTTTTGTGCGGTTTCCGATGCGCCGCTCGAGGATTCCTCCTTGGAGTTCCCGGCCCAGCGCCGGGGCATCCTGCGCCTGGGCCCGGCTTCGGGAGAGTCCTGCCGGACCTGCCGCTGCCGCCTGCCGCTTTCGCGCGACAGCGACAGCGCCTGCCTCAACTGCGCGCAGCCGCCATTTGCGGCGCCCAAACCGGCGAAGCCAGCGGAGAGGATCGGGCTCCCCCCCCCCGCCCACCCCAAAACCACATTTTTCCACTTTGGAAAGGTGGATCCGTTTCACTGGATCCCACAAATCCCGCCAATGGAACTTGTGAATAGAAGCTTAGTGACGTGACCCCTGGAGGATTGCGTCGGCGTCTTCTCTCTGCGGGGATTTGTCAGGACTGCTGCCGAGCTGCTGGCGCCTGTGGCGGCGCGCGCGCACAGTGCGGCGCTGGAAAAGTTTGCCGGAGGAGCTGCCGCAAGACTTGCAGGACGCGGGCTCATTTCGACACCCTGTTCAAAAGTCGGCCCAGTTTTATTTTTTTTGAAACAAACCGACCAAAAGAGGAAGTCCTTTTTTGTTTGAAAGGTTCTTTGTCAAAGGTTTGTCTAGGTGAACTGACTGGCGTCTCGACAGCCGTGCATTGTCTGAGCAAGTTTTTGGACCCAACAACTGCCTTTCCACGCCGATTTCCGGTACAAAAGGAGCGCCAGAAGCTTCAAGCGGCTTGGGATTTGAAGGCAAATGGAAGCGGGAAGCGCATGGCCGGTGCCTTCAAAGCGCTCAGCCCTGCCCAGGCGGGGAGGTCCGACGCTGATTGAATGCGCATGGCAATCTGATTGGGACGCCTATGAAAAGGAACCATGGCTTACAGGAGTTGTGACTATGGCGCATAGAAGGAACCAAAGGGAGGCACCGGCAAAAAACCTTACCGCCTAGAATATGTATGCGTAACATTGATTTGGAATTCATGATAGAAGGGGTTCCCCCCCCAACATGTTTTGCTTCCATTCCATTTGGTCCTCCTTTCAGTCAACCCCAGAAAGAGCACCATTTGAACCGCGAGGAACCCACACAAATAACATAAATTAGAAGGAACTGGTGGCTCGTGTTTTTTGTGCCCTTTTTGTCTTTTGCAATTTGGCTTGCAAAACGACACCCGAATCCATGGGCGCTATGAGAGGGACGTCTCCCAGTCGGCAGGTGGCTACCGAGAAGCTGGGCCTCACCCGCTCCGCGCGCTCCGAGCGCCTCAGACTTGCCGCGGAAGTGGGGGACGCGCGGCGCGTGGAGGCGTTGCTGGAGGCGGGCTGCGACCTGGACGCCCCCAACGCGCCTCGGGCTTCTTAAAGCGGCGGTTTGGCGTGGCGTTTCACTCAGAAAAGGCGGGGGACCAGGAGCTCGGCATGGCTCTACTCGTACTGTGCTATTCCTCACCGTGGTCATTGGCTCGCCCGATGTGTTGAATTTCTGGATTGCGACAATTTCTACGTTCTCCGCGAACTAAGTCTTTTGTTCGTATAACGGATGTTTCTCACTTTTCAGTATGCCTGGTGAAGCCCCTACCATGGCGACAGGCAGCAGTCCGTTTGGAGCCATCGATGCTAGCGGTGTTTGTGATGCCCGCGATGCCAGCGATGCAGATCATGTATCTATTTTATTTGATTCTAGTGAATGCCAGCGATCCCAGCTATGAAGATGCTGTATGTGGAGAGTGTTCTTTTTTTTCTGACTCTTGCTGTTTGGCCTTAGCTTTTCGTGTAAGCATTCTTCGTATTTTCATATGTGCTCTTTGACCGAGGAGTACGGCCAGAGCCCAGTCTTTCTTGCGGCTGTGGAGGGCCAGGTGGAAGCGCTGGAGGCTCGTTCGCTCGATGTAGATCAATCATACCAATTCGGGGGTGCTCAGGGTGGAGCAGCCATTGTTTGACCAACCAGAGGCCCCTTTAATTAAGCGGCACCCAACACAGACTCTGGAGTCCTCAGATATGGCCGCAGGGGTTTTATGTATTCCTGTGGCCTAAACGTGTCCCAGTGGAGTGGTTGGGCCGTGTATGTTTTTAGGGGACCCTTCACATTGGCTAGCAGCCCTCAAATGCGACACCAGGTGCTGCTGGCCTGGGGCGCGGACCCGCGGAAGCTCTGCAGCCAGGCTTCGGCCTGGTCGGCGGCGCGGTGCCGCGGCCACGCGGAGGTGTGCCGAAGCCTGGAGAGGCGACGCCTGGCGCGGGATTTGGAGGCGGCGTGCCAAGGGCGTGGCATTTGTTCACGGTTTTGGTGTTGGAGATGCAAGGAGCTGCTTCTTTGTTTGCCATTTTGGGGGTTGAGGGGAGGTTCTTCGCGGCGGCACAGTTTGGTGACCGCAACGAACGCGCGCGGTCGGGTGAATCCAAGACTTTGGCTTCCCAGCAACCGATGGAACTTCTTAAGTCGAATGGCTCGTCCGTCCCATTTATTGTCTATTTTACATATATATATATATATGTATCGATACACCGGGATTTGTCATCCTTCAACTTGACGGAAAACAATCATTATTCCACGTGATTGATTATTCCGGGATCGGCATAATTATCTTAGACATTTGCGATGCCCTTGGTTTTCTGTGCGCAAGTGGCCAACATGCTTGACACCCCCCCATATCGGGAATCGCCCTCTGAAGCTGGGAAAGACATGTTCGGGAGACATGGAGTTTCGTTTGGCAGAGACACAGAGATCCAGAAGCACGACATTACAAAAGTCAGTGACAAATTCACAAAGATACAGAGGTGCAGATTCACCGAGCCACAAGAAGAGAGCGAGTGAGCCGCGTTCTTTGTGTCTAGGCTAACCGATTGCCGACTGTTTGTTGGGTGCTCAAACAGTGGCTTTTTGTTTGGTACAGACCATGACGGGTCTTATGGGTTGTCCTAAACTCCAGGAGTCTCAAACAAGACCCTTTAAGATGGTCTCCCCTACTGGCGGTGACAATATGTTTGATCCCTGGGTTCTCCCCAAAATATTGCATCAACTTGAATCATCTTGGTACCCAAAGTCCGCTTGGATTGTAAGACCATGGAGAGTTCCCAAAAGTCTAAGTCTAATATCTCTTGTATATTCACCTTAGTACCAAAAGCAAAAGCTCGTGCAAACCTCAATACGCCAGGACATGCGAAGCTACAAATGGTATACCAAACGGATCTTCTTCGTTGACAGTCCACGGGCTGGGTAACTTCGTACTTCGGCTTCCAAAGGGCTCCGGTGACACTGAAGGTGCGGGCATGTAAGATCCAAGACCCGGTTTTGGAGGAGAAAATCGGGGCTTGGCCATGCATGGGCCAAGCCGTTGGCCTTGCCCAAAAAAGGGGGTGCTGGTTGTTTGCCACCAACATAATTTTCCGAAAAGTGAGAACAAAGGAACTCGCGGACACCATTGAAAAAATAGCTGCCCAAATCGTGCAGCTCAGGAGTTGGCCCCGACACTTGGCCGCCGCACGTGCCATCTCCTCCGTGCAGCAGGCGCTCAATCCCTGGGATGGTCCGATGCCCTATTTGTTTGTGTCTTGACGCCTGACTTGTTGCGAGTCCTACGAAGCCCACATTCCTTACTTCGAACTTGTGGAACACGGGCGCGGTGGTGACTCCTGTAAGCAGCACTCCTTTGGCCCAGGCCCTAGGTGGATTGCATCACTTGGATTGCGGGTAAGTTGGATTGTTGGCATGTGAATGGAGCTTGGCACCTGGCCAAGTGATCCCAAGTGACCCAAGTGACCCTGGCAGGCGTTGATTCATGTTCCCTTAATTTCAGCCATTGCATTTTGGCAAACTCATCATGAATCTGGAGTGATATGACACCTTATCGCAACGGGCAGCATCATGCTGGCGAGGCCCTCAGCGCTGCAAGGGTTGCCATCTGTGAAAGGAGCACTAGATCTCAGTTCTCTCCGGTCCTTCGCGACTGTGAGCCTAGGAAACACGGACGATTTTGAGGTTTCCACGACACAGCTCTCAGCTTTGGCAGTCCCGGTGCCCGCGGGAATCGATCCCCAACCACTGTTTATACTGTGTTGCAAATATGAACACAAAAAGAACAAATGCCCCAAGAATAAGATTTAATGCAACACATGAATGATATGGATAGAGATGAGAAGACAGGTGGGGTAAAAGTACTTAGGAAGAAGTGGGCTAGAGAAAACAGTATTTAGACAAGTTTTTCGGGGAAAACACACACAACAAAAACATGGAACCGATACAATGAAGCACACTTTAACAAAACTAGATTTTGAAATCAGCTCTGGCAAAAATGACATTGCAGCTTGTATTTGACCACAATAGCTCTTCTGACTCAGTAGCAACCATTACATTGGCGGTGATATAAAGAGCCAATACAAAAACAGAATGGTTATCTCCTCTAACATTTCTCACAAGAATGCCAGCAAGTCATACTGTCTAAGTAGCGGCGCGCTACTCCATACCATCGCCTCCTGGTAAGGAAATAAGCGCGACTTGGTTGCAGGTCGCGTCTGAGGTGTCAAAAGGTTTGGAACGCGATGTGGCTGCACGCCATCCACGAAGATAGCCACCAGTGGAGCCATGCTGTGCTGATAGAGCGAGCTCCTAAAATAACTGGCCAGGAGGCATCTGGCTATCTTAGGAGGAGGTGCGACCATTTTTGCCCATGAGGCCACCTCGGTGGGTGTGCGCATCGCTGGCTTTCCGTCCACAAAAGTGATAGCCGCTGGTGGAAGAGGTTTTTGTAGTGGCAGATTCCCAGCATCAGGCTGGCTGATTTCAGGAATAGTCCGCTTCGAAGATGCGCTTAGCAGGGGGGAGCACAGTATCCTCGAGAATCAATGAAAACACAACCCCCAAGAAACAACTCAACTTGAGAAAGGGACCCCTATGGGTTTCAATTGTCCTTTCTCCACAAAGGGCACCCGCAAAGTCACACACACACAGCAGGTGCCCGGTGCCTCTACCGCTGCCGCCGGAGGTTTCTGCGTTGGGGGCCTTCTATGCGACTCGCCGTTAGCGGATGGACCGTTTTGGGTTGGGTTTTAATGGGCGGAGTCCCTTACCCGGATCTGAACAAGAGAGATGCTTCTGCCTCGGACCCCCCAAATGCGCTCTCTGACATCTACATCATACCCGGGTCTTTGAAAGCTTTCCGCTGAATGTCCCTGTTTGTGCCTCAACAAGAGTGATCGGTTTCCTTTGGTTTTTGCTTTGCAGATTCATTTAGTCGTATAAAAAAACTTACATACATGCCTGGTTTTAGGCCGCCGTTTATATATACATACATGCAATCTTGCATCCATATATTCTTACATACAGTCATGCATGGACTCATGCATGCAATGCTCATTCATTTCTACATGCATGCATCATGTGTACGTGCGTCCATACATTCTTGCATACTTGCCTTCACGCATACATAGATTCATTACATTAGATTACATTACACCACGCCACATGATTTATTGCATGTACATTTACATTCCAGTACGTTGCACTACATTCCACTACACCACAGCACGCCACACTGCACCACGCTACGCTACACATTGCACTGCACTGCATTGCACCGGACTGCATTGCTTATGCCTTTAACGCCAAGGGCCTGAGACACTTTCTGGGATATGATCGCTCAGGTAGATGGCGCCTTTGATGAGTCATTCCTGAAATGGCTGGAGGCCAGGCACGTCGTCGAAATGCATCGGTTTGTCCTGGAAGTGGCCGTCGTGGTTTCATGAGCATCCAAGTAAAAGGCCCAAACCCAGTTTTTTTAACGCACGCAACCAGTTGAGGTTACGACTGTCCTCAGGGTCCAGCTCTAGAATTGTCCGGACTGAAGCCCTCCATGCTCAGCTGCCGCAGAGCGCTCGTCTGCCTGTGCCACAGGATCTCTGGCGAGCGCTGCCACAAGCACCATTCGAGGCGCATCTTTCTGAGATGTTGCTTGGTAGAGAAGGAAGGAGGACAATCGGTTCTCCCTGGACTGGACCCCAAGTTTGTCTGCGATGCTTCTGTCGCAGGCCGAATCTCCAGAGGAGCGCGGGGGGAAAGTTGTGGGCCTTTGGTCAACCTGAGATTTGCTTGGACACGAGTTGGTTTCTTTTGAGTTTCGTCCTTTGTGCAAGCACTTGTAAAACGGCTTTGATTCGGGGCGTGTTCCAAGAGTCATGTCACAAAGTTGGGCCCAGCCACCTTTTTCAGCCTCATCGAACCCGTCAGTTTCGCGAACCCGTCGCTTTCCGCGTCGCTTCGCTCACAGGAGCCCAAAACACGGGCTGCCAAGCGCGGGGTGGACCGCCGGACAGGGGCCGCAGACGCGGCGCCGCGGCGGAGCTACTACTTCGATGCGCTGGAGG